CCCCCCCTTTTTTTTATCCATTTCAGATTAAATCAGAGCAAAGGAGGATTGAGAAGTGGGCTCTAAAGGAGGGCCTTTTATGATGAGGAGCATCCCTATCTCCCAAAGGTGTACTAAATTGACATTTCAAACTGATTTGCAAGTGATTTCGAAAGTTATATTGTTAATCAAACTAACAATTGATTCATTACATTCCTTAAAGCACTTCTCGTATAGGTAGAAAGAACAATGTAGTGATGTTGTGGGCTATAATTGGATAGATGGATTCAAATGCGTTTCAATGACTAATCAACAACTTTTTACTGCTCTTATTTATCTTCCAATGCTGGTTTGCTTTAAATCTGTCTAGGAAATAATTTTTTCCTTTAATAGGTGACGGGTAGGATGATGCTAAATGCTTCGCATATATTCCCTCATAACACCCCGATTACAAAACGAGCATACTACTATAGGATGATTTTCAAGCGCCTTTTCCCACAGGTACTTTGTTCAGATAATATTTTATATTGTGAGGTTTCGTGATAAATGGGCTAATTTATGCTTGTTGTCGACCTTGCAACCTTCGATAAAGTGAGTAAGCTCGCATAGTCGGAATTTTTTGTTCAAATAATAATGCATTGAAAATAATAATGCTAAATTCGAGATTTAGTTTTAACCATGTTCCTCTGCCATTTTTGGTTCTGCAGAATCCAGTTGGGCTAACCGTTCCTGGGGGAGCGAGTGTGGCGTGTGCTAAAGCAGTTGAGTGGAATGCTTCTTGGTCAAAGAACCTTGATCCTTCACACAGGGCTGCTATTGGCTGACATAACTCGGCTTATAAGAATTATGTGCCTGCTATGGCTAATGAAAATTTGGCCACAAGAATCATTGCATGTGTGCCGTCTTCGATAGAAGTCGGTGCTGCTCCTGAGCTCGCAATAAGGAGTTAGCAGCAGTCTGTTATCCATGACTTCTTGCTCATAAGTAATATTATAACTATTACAATTATTATAAGTTTTAGTCTAACGTCATTGTTAAGGGAAGATGCAGCATATCTTTTAGCCGTTCTATTGCATTAAAGACCAGATGAGGGTGGTTTTAAGCTGAACAATATTAGTACCATTGTTTGATTATTAGGTCTCAAGAGCTCTTCAGTTGCCTCCGTTATGGTAATTTTAGTCATTTCCATTTCTCTAGGCCTTTTCCCTTTTTGTCCTGTATCATTTGTGTGACGACCGGCCGGTCGTCTTAAGAATTAACACCCGATCCCTTATTAACTGCTTTCCCTAAGTTTATTTCTGCTATTTTGAATTGCCGGATGTTCGGCTTTGAGTTTCGGAGAGTTTTGGGGACACTTAATCCCTAAATAAGAGCTTATGTGTTGGAAAATTGACCGTAGTCGAAACAGTGTGAAGACGACCTCAGAATGAAATTTAAATGAAGAGTGCCGAGAGTGTCCACAAGGAAAGAAGAATTATTTGGAGAAAGAAACAATGAATTTTACAGCAAATTATGAGAGATTTGAGAGGAAATGTTGTTACATTTTTTTTTAGAGAGGAAAGAAGGTAAATGCCTGAGATGAAAAATGGAAAGAAGAATAACGAAATAGTGGAATGGAAGAAGTAAGTAAAAGGAAAAGTAAAAGGAGAGGTAACAAAAATAGCAACTTGGACAAGGAGTCAAAGTATGTGTTATCATTATTCACTTCCTTTTCCTAATTCCTTCTTTTGTTTTTTCCTAAAAATATTTCGGTTTTAGTTTTTCATATGTAGTTTATATGTTAGTGTCATAACATTATATATTTAGGATGCTAATGTTTTGGTTTAGTTGGAGTAGCTAACTGATTATACATATACTATTGATAGTTTGTGTCCACAAAGCAAGAATCACCATCTCTTAATAGGAGACATAGAAGAAAAATATCGTAATAATGTTTTCTAAGTCTAGATCGGAATCTCAAATTTTAAACATCTCTTTAAACATAAATAACAAATACTTATTTATAGATATATATAATTGTATCAAACTTGTTCGTGCGCTTCAGCTTTTAACAAAGATGATAAAAGAAATTCCAAGTTCCTTTTTAATATTTCAAAATTTTTAGTTTGTGAACATTTTGACAAGAAAAAAACTATGAAGAATAAAAAGTAATTACCCAATTATTTCACCGTCCAATATTTCAATCATTAGTGAAATAGGAAAGAAGAAGAGATAAGTAATTACTTCTATTTAAGTGAGTCAAATATTTCACTAATAATTTCGTAACAATAATTTTGACTTTATCCAATTTTTAAATTTTTTCTTAACTTGGAAACTACTGCGACATCACTAATGATAATTGAGATTTGCTCGCCGAAAATTCACAATTCTGCATTGTTTAGATAAAACGTAGTCTGAAGCTTCAAATTTTATGAAACTGCACGTCAGGATATATGACATTCTTATCCTATAATTTAGTAATAAAAATTAAGTTCTAGAATCTGTCCAAGTTGATGTATGAAGCTTTGTGGTTGTTGAATAGCAATTATATTCTGAATCAAAATATTAACAACCCAAGATTTCAAAATCCTACCACAAACACCAAACAAAACTATATAGACTGTTTTTGGTATTATCAACACTTGCTTGAACCTTTTTCTAAAAAATCAAGTAACACTTTCTTGAACCATAGCAAGTTAGCAACCCCCTTTTATAATCTTAAACGTACTTTCACCTAGAACAAAATTCACAAGTTCCAGAATCCAGGAGCCTGTCCAACCAAATCGAGACGTGAAAAAGATAACCTTGGCAATTCCTATCACATTGATATGTTTTACACTAGAATTGAATTTCACTGTGAACAAAACAAGATAAAGCAAAAATGGAAAGACATGGCCATGGGACGTGTCAGGGCGTCGCAGGGCGTGGCCATGGCACGTGTCAGGACGCGTCAGGACGTCGCAGGACATGGCCATGACACGTGTCAGGACGTCGCAGGACATGGCAGGGCGTGCCCATGGCACGACGTCGCACCAAGCCGCACCACGTCACTCCACGTCGCACCACGTCTAGTGCTAGCCAATGCTTAGCAACATGCCAAGCGCAATGATGTTGGTGGCGGTGGTGGAAAGTCGCGGTGGTTCGAGCGGTAGCGACCGGCGACGGTTGGTCGATGCTTGGTGGTTGGCGGCGGTGGTTTCACATCGGAATCACTTGTTGTGGTTGCGACAATGGAGGTGCCTCATGCTTATTGGTGGTTGGTCATCTATATGCTTTTATAATAATATTATGTATTTTACCTATTTTTATTAATTTTTATGCATTTTTTGTAATTTTAAATAGTTTTTATGTCACTTTTTTATAAAAATATTTCATCTTTTTTGTGTTATATTATTACAAGATGTATTGGAATTTTTCTCCATTGATTTTTCTATATTTATAATAATTTTCATATTTTTAGTATTTTATTAAGTATTTTTCGTTTTTTAATAAAACTATTTCAAAAAAAATATTATTTTTTTTTGTAAAAAATATCATTTACAATGTTTAAAAGTCATTTATGAATATACTAGCTAAGTTATACTTTGATTTGTGCTATTTGGTGTTGTTCATGTCTTTATCTTTGCTACCTACCTTTACTTCAAATAGTCGTCAGCAGATTCTTGTAGAAGGATACCAATCCATTGGGTTTTGGGCACCCACAAATGCTGAGCTTGCTGTTTATATTCGGTTTGAATATAATTTGGAAATTGTTCCTAATATAATCTCATTTTCATACCTTAATTATGGGTTGTCAAAGTCTTTGTTTCCTATTCTCAAATTTGTGAAGTCGAATAATCAACTTGCTAATATTTTCACCAAGTCCCTTACTGGTCCTCATATTAGTTATATATGTAACAAGCTCGGTATATATGATTTATATGCACCAGCTTGAGGGGGAGTGTTAGTTTGATGGTTAAATAGTAGTAAATAACCATAATCCCATATGTATTAGTAGTAGGACATGTATTATATATATATATATATATATATATATAGGGCTCATTGTATCATTGTCAATATTAAGTAATAATATTTTTCTCCCGTGCATTCTCACGCTTTTCACCTTTGAAAATTTCCAAAAAAAATAATAATTTCACAAACGCAAAAGGGAGATTTACACCCATGACAAAGTTGAAACTTCTATCTCATGGAGAAGCACATAAGTACAAATTCAGTATAAAAAAGGAGAAAAAAGATACTTGAGTATACTCAAGTATTTGTGTACAACTTCCTTTATGCACAAGAGCAAACACAAAGCATTTTTTTTCGCTACTCAGTTCACAATTCCAAATGAGCGAATATGGTAGATAGAAAAA